TTCCGCCCCATTAGAAAGAGAATCCGAGAGAATACTAGCGGGTTATCAGTCCATTTAAACTTGGTAAAAGATTAAGGCCAGCTGATTCAATTTGACGCTTTTCAAATGATCCTTTACAACAATATATTTACCAGTATATTAGATATAACATTCATTCTGAGTGCAGCGGTTTCAAACCGATTTAGTTCAACATTAGCAGCTGGAAAGGTAGCATACATTTTTTGTTCTTTACCAGCCACTGACCAAAGAATTGGATGAATATATTTTACTCGTTCGTGAGATGCTGGAAAGTGTTGTGTATTGCAGATCACGAAAATCGCCCAATGCCATGGCAACGAGTACTATGCATTTGGGCCACAAATATTTTAATCATATTTTTGGCTATGAGCTTTTAAAATTAATTGAATTTGGCTATATTAGAAAGGGCAAGGTGAAAACAAAAGAGCTCACAATGCTATGTTGATGGATTCGGCAATCAAAAAGATAATTCCCTCGTCCATACCGTGACATCCTAAATTGAGTTGGTTTTGAATCAAAACAATTCCATTTGAGGGATAACTGAATATCGACATCATCTCGCCAATGAAACCTCAAAATCACGCTTGTTAGTCTACGAATAACAATATAAGCAGCTTTACGGTTGATATTAAGCCTACAAGGTTAGATCTGTAGCAACCAAAGTAACCCTCTAACACGAAAAAACAATCCACTTTGCGTGATGAAAGGGAAAGAAACGTGTAAAAGACGTGTTAAAAGGTGTGAAATTTGCACTAAGACCGCTGACCATTCGATAAACGGACTACATGTTTGTATATATGCGAGAGGTTTCAAAACTTATTTTACGGTCTTGTAGTTATCTATACGGATCCCTCGACCTTAGGTTACAAGTTGTTCAGTTGATCTACTGTGACTCAAGACGACTTTGTCAAAGGTACTTAAAATGATTTGCACTCTGTTAGTACGACACATTTTTAACAGTTTTATTATCGCCAGTACTTTACACTACAATTACTACCCCCACATATGTCACAACTGTTCTCCGTGATTTACAACGTGTGTGATTATTCGTCAACTCAAATAACAGATGCTTCAAAGAAGAATAGTGCTTCAGTTAGTCAGACAGTAGGGTTTAAAATACATATACATGATAAGCATATAAAATTGAAAGTACACTAAATGAGAAAATGAAAAAAAATGGCATAAAATGGCGAAAGACCGTCGAATTAGCTAACGAAATCTATTAAAATATAATTCTTGCTTTTCCCATCGGACGCTGTAAAAAGAGGCAGGTTGTAAACAAACAAAGTTGATCTGCCACCCTTTGATACAAGGTATCATAAACATTTGAAGGTACATAGTAAATGTAAGATATTGCGACACAAGTTTGTTATCTAAACTAAACGGCTGGATATAAAACACTTAATATTTTTTTCAGTTGAAGTACAGCTCAGAAAATAAAGAAAGGAAGAGTAGCATGGGTCATATAGAGGTCCAGACATTAAGTCCTAGGTCCGCCTACGACGACGAAGAGCCTTTGACTCAAGAAATGCACGAGAGATGCAGATACGTTGCAGAAGAGCTCCGCCTAATCGGAGACAGTTTAGAAACCAGCTACACAGAGAGAAGGAGCATAAACAGATTTGCAAGAGTAGCAATCGGTTTCACGTTGCTGGCCATCTCTTCAAACATTGTGTTAAGACAAATAATTGCGGGCTTTCTGGCTCGTCAGTAAGTTGCTCCAAGCTTTTGTCGTCATTATAACGTTTACCCTGTTTACGTAATATTTCTCGTGGCTCAATAGCAAGTGGTTGCCCTAGAGTCAGCAGGCAGACTTGAGATTGGAGTTACCTATTTTCAACGCCAACGGCATTAGGAATTAACCTTGATGTTACTTGTTTAAAACACTGGACAGCTTTGCATAAAAAGAGTTTGGAAAAGCTGCAAGGCTTGTAGTACTGAATTAAGTGACCGAATTCAGGCATCTAATGACTGCAAAGAAGCAAGGGACATTTTTCACTACTGGCGTTTCAACTTGCCGTTGAGAACGTATTCAACATACTTCTAAGATTAGTAATCGCGTTTCTGAAGACGCAGAAACCCAGTATTTATTTTCAGAAACATTATAATTATCCAGAAATAAACTGTTTTACGACTGTTTACCTATTTTTTGCGTCGTAATCATGATTTTCATGGTTATGTATTCTTACTAGAACGTATAGCCACAAAGAGTTAATAACATCAAACTTACAGTATCGTACACAAAGATATATATCTAGGATATTTCGTAACTATTATCTAATATATCATTGCAAGAACCATAAAGGTTTGTTTCACTTTGAGAGGCTGAGAAATGAGCGAGATAAGCTTGCGGACATTAAATTGAAACACCAAATTTGTTTTCAGTGTACACTGTAATTAGTAGAGGCGAAGCACTCAAAAACATAAACTACACTCTAAAGCTTAAGATTGCTTTTTTCTGTTTTATTCCTAAATCTAACCCACAAAATTTCAAAATTATGCCTTCAAACTTTTTTTTCCGGAAGGCGATCTAATACCAAGTTAAAAATAACACTGAAATAATCTATCCAGGAAAAATTGCTCTCTCGTGAATTGATTCTATGACGTCACTGAACCGCAGAATTTGCTTTAGTAAACAACGTGTCCAAAAACATCGATCCTCCGTGTTCACTACACACCGTTTTACAAATACTTTTTTTCTTCTAAGAAACCCAGATAAATACAGCCACCGAGGCTTTTGAATATCACTGTGTATATTGTTTCGTTAACGATTTTGCAACAAATATGATAGATATCGCACCTAATATTATCTCAGTGTGCGCGGTTGATATCACTAACTGCTAGACCCAATTGTAACCGTGTAAATCAAAATTTCTCCTTTTTAAGTATTTAAGGAAGTTATATTTAAGAACTTGATTACACATTCTCTTTTTTTCGCCAATTTCTTTTCTTCAGTTCTATCGGGTCAAACGTTTAAATAAAGTAAACCTTCTTTGAAAAAATGAATAGAAGTGAGTTCAAACATGCCTTATAGTCATTGTCATTACTCTCCAAATGGACAGAAAATCAAAGACATAGCCTTGAACTACGAAGTAAACTCCAAGGTTCCTGAGTTTAAAAGTTTTAGACTATATATCCCACCAAGCGATGTCAATGATACATACCTCCATTTCTTTGTCTTAAAAGATTTTCACCGTCTGGGGGTCCTACATTACGAAAAAGTGCGCTACAGCTTAATATTTCGGCAGACTTGTAACTAAAACAATCTTTGAAAATGACTCGTATCTCCAATGTTCCATGCATCTTTAGAGTCAAATTATGGACTTGTATTTTTCTTCCAAATTTTAGCCTTTGGCTTGGGCTCTCTAACAGACGACAAATGGCTTAAAGGTAGACATAACTAATAAAATATGCATAATAGGACAATTTTGAAGAGAATGATTTGCGTAATAAAGACGTTTCCAAGGCTAGAGGTGTTAAACACCAGCTGTGGCTCTCTGAGTCTTGGAAATGAAACTGCTATATATTTGCATTTTAGAGTCAGATCATAAATTAAAGTTATAACTCTCTCTCTTTTTTCCCCCTATTGAAATTGACTAGAAATAATAAGAAAAAATCTAGATATTATCTGAAATTTTAATACTAAGGCCCAGTTCAAACGTCGAACTTTTCATTTACCAAACGTAAAACCTACTTGGGTCGACCAAAATTATAAAGGTTCGACGGTTAATTCAAACGTCAAAGTTTATTACAGTCGGAACCAATCAGGTTTTTATGATGTACAATGATCTAGCATGCTTGCCAGCCAAAATAAATTATAGTAATTTACACATTAGATTTGGCATATGAAAAATTCGACGTTTGAAACGGAGTCGCGCCACAGTCGAAATCACTCGACCTTAATTCATGGTTCAACCCAAATTAGACATAGCAGACTTTAGGGTCATCCTCGGTGTAAAAACCTGTGAAGTTTTTCATTGTTTTCTAGCTATTATTTTCCTTGGCTCTATTGTGTTGACGTCTCACGGGCTAGTTTATTTGTATTAATTGATTTACGTCACTTGTGAGTTTTACAAGTTTTTTTTTTACACCGAATATAAACCGGACTTAATTGCCTCAAAACGTCGAAATGTTCCTGTACTTAATTCAAGTTGAAGGGATTTGCGGGTTCGGTACATGATCCATGAATAGTTCGACGTTTAAAATTAAACCGGGCCTGATTCAGTTGGTCCTCATGACCACCAGGCTTTCTGTCTATTTATCTACTGTGTTTAATGCCCCGTTAACGCGTAGTTAATTAAAATCGCTCTCAGCATTTAAATCGTCGCTTGTAGGGAATTCGGATTCCGCAATCCGTGAAATTTTGCCTATGGAATCCGGAATCCGAGAAAATTTTGCTTGTGCAATCCGGAATCTTGGGCTTTGGAATCAGGAATACAGCTCAAGGAATACGGAATCCCACTAACGATTGAAATCCACTGACAAAGACCGGAATACGGTACTTGGAATCCAGAATCCAAAACTGTCTTGGATTCCCTTAATAACAATAACAATAATAATAATAATAATAATAATAATAATAATAATAATAATAATAATAATAAACGCATTCTTCATATATATATATATATGTCTCGATGCTTTTTACAACTAGAAGAAAGAGCTCTCGCGAAACAGGTAGGTTTTCAAAGCCCTTTTAAAACTATCAACAGAGTTACTTTGTCTCATGGCAAGCGGTAGCTGATTCCAAAACTTCGGAGCAATTGCCGCAAAAGATCTCTTTCCGTAAGCAACTGTAGTAGTCTTGGGGATAACTAGGAGGTTGGAATCACTAGAACGAAGAGAACGACATGCAGGGAGTGTAATGATGTAACAGTTCATTAATATACACCGGGGCAAGGCCATTAACAGACTTGTACGTAATCAACAGTAACTTAAAAGTTACCGTAAAATTCCGAAAATAAGCCCCTCCAAATATAAGCCCCCCAAAACCGGTAACGCAAAAAACCCTCCGTTAACTCGCCCCTCCAAATATGAGCCCCCCGGGGGCTTGTACTTGGAAAATTGCCCTCAAATACAAGGTAAAACAAAGGAAAAACAATAAATTTACTTCCAACTGTAAGGCTAGCCCTATCGATTGTGAAACGCAAATTTCCCTCCTTAGATAAGCCCCTCCGAATATAAACCCCTCAAAAAGGGCCTTTGAAAAATATAAGCCCTGGGGCTTATTTTCGGAATTTTACGGTATTCTGTCATTAACAGGAAACCAGTGCAACTTTTTTAAAACAGGAGTGATGTGATAAGTCTTCTTCATGCACACAGTTAATCTTGCCGCGGTATTCTGCAATCTCTGAAGTTTCTCAATTTCACGAGAGGGAATTCCATAATGCAATTATTACTAACAACAATCCAATTTCGATAAAACGAAGGCATGGACAATGCGCTCAGCATCCGCTTGCGAAAGATATTTTCTGATTCTGCCAATAGAATGAAACGAACGCGAAAGAGCGCGACGCAGGTGTTGTTGACAGGGGGAACAAAGGTGAGGTGTGAATCAAGCGTGACTCCAAGGTCTTTGACAACAATAGTAGGCTGAACGTAATGATCACCGACTTTACTCGAACCAATCGGTTCAGCAGGTGAAAAACGCGAAGAGAAATTGATTATCTCAGTCTTTGACAGATTACATTTAAGCATATTGTATAAATTCCATAACATGGGGCGATTTTAAAGCAAGTTCCCATAATGATCTGAACACTCTTCCATACCGACAACTTGGATAAACTCTCCGAACTGTACACTCAGCATGCCGATCTATCCGTTGGTTAATTATTTTCCGATTGCTAGCATTGGATACTGCTGAGGCTATTCAAGCCAGTAAATCAAATGACATGACTATTGCGGTCTGTTAGATCATTAGCCGGTCAGTGTAAAACGTAGACCGTGGGGCTAACGTACCCCGGTCCCAGAGGTTTTTCCTGAAATTTTTCTTTCCGACAACAGAATCTGATCATACTCTAACCAAACGCACAAGTGCGACAGCACCTGTATCATCGATTATAACAAACGCCACAAAAGCAAGTCACGTTTGGGGGTTTGTTCACTCAGTTAAGTGTTTATCCTGCATTACTAACAATACGTGAAAACGTTTGGCCTCATGATTTCGAATAAGGCACGGTTATTCTACGTAACATTACTCTATTCCTGTCTATTCTGACTTCTCAACGACTAGCACTACGTAATAAGCTTTAATATGAAATGATTTTGTCCTCAGATTAAACAGCATCAATGACGAAGCATTAAACATTCGATAGTGATGGCCTAATTGTTTTTCTGGTCTGTTTCACAAGTGTGAAAGCCAAATTTTGCACCATTTCTTTGTCTAAATATGTAAGTTTGCTTATGCAAATGTCATGCGTACATTTTTCTGCCAATCGCTGGAATGGTTAATATGGTCATGGAATCTACTTCATTTTGGCCGCCATTAGACTGTTTACGTTGGCAAATACTAATAAAAAACAGTAATAAGCCTATGCGCTCCTGAAAATTGCAATTGTCCAGTAAACAAGATTTCAGCCGACGTCTGATCCGGAACAAAACCTATCTGGCTCTAAGTACTATATCAGGTTAAGAACCGAGAGGAAACGCGTAACAGTGATTGGAAACATGTCCAAGCTTCGTCACTGTTTTGATAAACGAGCTTGAGACATGTTCTATAGACAACCAAAGTAAATAATTCTTGCCGGCTGGTTAAGTGTACAGTCAAAATGAGACAGACAAAGCATTCATTATTTACTCTTACTAGACAATAGAGCCCAATCTTAACTGTCTTCAGTGAATAACAATGGTCGGTTCTGATCTGTATATGACGAAAAGCAAAAATACATAGTGTTGTACGTTTATTTAAGCGTATCTTTGATACCAAAAGAAACGTAACTTCAGTACGTTTAGTGAAAGGCCTGTCTTACTGTACGACCTTGCTACCTTAAGATTCGACTGTTTTTTCCAGAGGGTCACCATTGATCAGCTGATTGATAACCAGCACACGTTGTGTTCACCATCAGTTCATCTTTCATTGCATTTCTTTATCTTTCGGTACTTTGCATTGAGCTCAGTTGCAACCAAATGTTCCGCGTTTTTGTCCTATAGCAATTTCTGGTAGTATGGGCATTCCCCATAGTCTTGAATTGACATTGAATCATGCCAAAAACATGGCAACAATACTGGGTGCAATGCTGTAGTGAACATCTGATTTGATGATAACCGTTAGCATGTGTATCACGTGTAACTGCATTCTTCGGCTCGAGGCCGCGTGCTGCAAAACTACCATGACTTGTTATAAATTTTGTTAAAAAACGCGCGAGAAAAGCATCAATTATCTTTTTAAACAAAAAGTTGGTCTCCGTATCATTTGTCTCATAAGACAACACCAATTAAGCGATTAGAGTAAGAAAAGGTATTTTCCGCGGATTACCTAAAGCCTCCTTGAACAATTTCCTGGTGTCTTACATCAAGATATAATAAAATCTCTTTAAGCTCTGTTCTGTTCGCCCTTTCTTTCAAAAAGGGACCAAACTAATTAACTTTTACTTGACTGACCGACTGTTTACATAGCGAATTATTATGAGCAGACACAAGGTAGGGAGTCCAACATAATTATTTTGTACAAGAAAGTTTACCAATTCAAACCTGCATAAATTTTAAACGTCTGGAATAGTTCTTTGTTGGTTAAAGACTTTTGTTTAATGTGAATTCCACTTTTTTATTCTCTCTAGTAAACAAAAGTTTCGACATTGAAAGATATTGTACTACGAAGAAAAAAACTAGAGCAAAGATTTTTCATTTGATAATTAGTCACACCATATCCATATAATTGTTTTCCAGATCTTCAATACGTTTTATTTACCTTAGTGAACATTAGGACCGATATAGTAAGGGGAGTGGAAAGAAAAGGACACTGTTGATCTCCAATGAATGACATATTTTTCACGATTAATTAAACAAACTCTTAAAACCTCTGGCCCCAAATAAACTGCAGTTTCATGTCAAACCCATCACTGCGGTTCTACCAGGCCAAGTTTGTAATAGACACTAGCAAGACCGAGGTGATTAATTAAGAAAATAAGTTATGTGCAGTTGATTTTTTAGAGGCAAGAACAGTGTCGACACGAGCACTGGCAGATGCTACGTTATCAACCTGGGCTCGACACAGTTGTCAGTGTGTTAGGGCAAATATACATAATCATTTAACATAAGCAAATTTTGTCAACTTAACATTAGACCAAAAGCCGCCGTTCTTGGATTGAAGAAAGTCAGTTCTGAGAATTTCCATTAATGGCAACTGCTGCTAAGTGTTTGTATAATGTCAATAAAGTAAACAAACTTAGCAGAGGCTAAAGGGTCTTTATTTCCCCTCAGTTACATACCATTTCGAATCAGTCACCACAACCTGGACTGGTTTTCAAATTAAAATAACAAAATTGTCAAACAAATGTTATCATTATCGACCTCCAATACGCATCTCTAACCTCGAGCAACAAAAAAGAGACGGCTCCAACGTTTGGAAAACTATAGGGGTTATGACAAAAAAGGTGTCAGGAAAAAGGACCCGAACGTCAGGGCTTGAAGAGCCTTAGTTGGAATATAAACAATAAAGGGGTCACACAATTAATTATCACTTTTTATCAAAAAAAAAAAAAAGTTTATCAGTGCCAAATTCTACAGCTCAAACTGAATTTGAGAAAACTTCCGATCAAGATGATCTTTCTTCTGTAGCTCCGCCTGCTTGGAATCACAAGCTGAGATCTTACTGTAGTTCTGCATGTTATCGTATATTGAACAAGTTCGGCAAACAGTCGTAGATTAAAGCCTTCGTATATTTTAAATTCAAATGAGTCACTGTAATTTTGTTGTTCATAGATAGTATAACATTTACATCTATGTATTGTTTCCGGTATTTCGCTCTAATCTATATTTTGCTCTCACATAATCGCCTAACTTTGGACATCTCAAACTAAATATCACGACCACATTCTATACTGGGAAAAAAAATTCTGAGTCATGTCCTAATTCAAAGAAATGTCATATGCAGTTTCTCTGAAAAGCACATTAGGTACTGTACACAGAACGTCATGTACTTAACTATTGAGGTGCACCCTGACAATAGATGCAACCTCATCGCTTTGTACAATTTAAAACACTGGCTATTTCTTCAAATGAAGGTAGTTGGTCTTGTCTGCGAAACAAAATTTCCTTCGAGGCTGCTGTCATGATCAGATGTGAATTATTTTAGGTCAGCTTATGAATTGCAGCAAATGATGTTTATTGTTTTCCGTTTGCCACTACACTTAATGAATCGGATGAAATATATTTTCCGGTCTTTTGTTGTCAATCTTGAGGTCGTCCAATCTCCTTGCTTCCATTTTCTCTAAATCAAGGCATGGCCTCGAAATTTTTATTTTCTTTTTCAAACTCCCCCGGCACATTTTGTTCCTTTTCCTCCCAGTGTCGGCTTTGTCGACTTTTTCCTCAACTAAGCCGGCTGCTCGAAAATTAACCTCTGCACTATTCGAGTTTTCTTGCATTTCTTTGTCCATTTCAGTTGTTTTAGTGTTGCACAAAAACAGCTCTCGCAGCTCATCATCGCTCGAGCTTGACTGGTCAAATCCCTCCTCCACTCTGCCATATCGAGTGTTTAATGCATCCTTTTCATACTCCCTCCCATCTCTCTCAAGTTTCACCGCATGATTTCGCCTCAAATTTCGTTTGTTGCTAACAAATTTAACGATGCGAACTTCATTGACAAGCTTCGGTGTTTCTCTGAGATTGAGAGGCTGCAATTTACGGCTTACGATGTGTTGTTTGATCCCTTGAGCCCCTCGTTTATTATATTTGCTGTTGGTGGGTGTCCTATCAACGATGCCAAGCCAAGTATCGGCAAGGTGGGACGAAATTCTGACATCAGAAGCGCTGTTGTCTGGCGAAATCTGAGTGGAGACGAAGTTTTTTTCAGTTCGTTGAATTAAGTCTTCGTCAAGGCTATGTCGCCCCAATTGTTCAGAGAGGCTTTCGACGCGGGTTACGTCCGCTACAAGTGCAGCCATCGCTGTCTAGCTAAATTCACTTCGATCATGTAGTGTGGTTTAATCATCAAATTCTTGCGTGCGATGAGCGAGCCGAGACTGTGTCGATATAAAGCTGAGTTTAAAATAGTGTCCCGATGGGGAAGCAGAAAGCAAACTTCATGATGTTTTTGCATTGTCGATGTGACAATGATAGTATTTGCGTTTAATTCAAAAAGAGTGAAGCAATGAA